GTAACATATTGTATCATATTGTAACGTATTGTAACATATTGTAACGTATTGTAACATATTGTAACGTATTGTAACATATTGTAACGTATTGTATCATATTGTAACATATTGTAACGTATTGTATCATATTGTAATGTATTGTAACATATTGTAACGTATTGTATCATATTGTAACGTATTGTATCATAGTGTATCTTATTGTAAGGTAATGTAATGTATTGTAACATATTGTATCATATTGTAACGTATTGTAACATATTGTAACGTATTGTATCATATTGTAACGTATTGTATCATATTGTAACGTATTGTATCATAGTGTATCTTATTGTAAGGTAATGTAATGTATTGTAACATATTGTATCATATTGTAACGTATTGTAACATATTGTAATGTATTGCATCATAGCGTATCTTATTGTAACATATTGTATCATATTGTAACGTATTGTAACATATTGTAACGTATTGTATCATAGCGTATCATATTGTAACATATTGTATCATATTGTAACGTATTGTAACATATTGTAACGTATTGTATCATAGCGTATCATATTGTAACGTATTGTAACATATTGTAATGTATTGTAACATATTGTATCATATTGTAACGTATTGTAACATATTGTAACGTATTGTATCATAGCGTATCATATTGTAACATATTGTATCATATTGTAACGTATTGTAACATATTGTAACGTATTGTATCATAGCGTATCATATTGTAACATATTGTATCATATTGTAACGTATTGTAACATATTGTAACGTATTGTAACATATTGTATCATATTGTAACGTATTGTAACATATTGTAACGTATTGTATCATAGCGTATCATATTGTAACATATTGTATCATATTGTAACGTATTGTAACATATTGTAACGTATTGTATCATAGCGTATCTTATTGTAAGGTAATGTAATGTATTGTAACGTATTGTATCAGAAAGTATTGTATCGTATATCCTTCGTTATTGTATTGTATTTCTTATTCTATCAGAAAGTATTGTATCGTATTTCAAAGTATTATCGTATTGTATCATATTGTATTGTATCGTATTGTATCATATTAAAAACAAGTGTCTAAATGAGACTACTAAACGTCATCTCACCGAACATTAGCCGCCTTTAGCTTAGCGGTGGTGAAGTCATGGGCTGTAGTTCCTTTATAGCCCAACATTAGCTTTTTACTTCTGCAAATTGCATTTACACTTCAGCTATTATTAGCGTCAATAACTTTTGTTTGCAAAGAGCTTGTTTTCTGCAAATCCAATGGGAAAATACCATTGGATTTGTGTCAAGGGCACCAGGGAGATGCTAACTCACTCTACAATAATAAGTCATCCCTGCAGTACTCTATTGACGTGCATTTGTAAAGGCCAGTGGTGTAATGGTAATGCACACACATGCTAACTTTCCACTATTCCAAAAGCGTTATTAATGGAGAGATTATAAACACAGTATGGCCTCTAGATTAATGTTATTTTATGTGTGTCTCTGGAAGTGTTTGCCAAAGGCTGCTATGTTTTACTGATAGATACAGTATGTGATCATTTCAATATCCAACCAGTGATACTCCCCATAGCTTTAACACTGACTTGCTGTGTGAAAGAAGCAGCATCATGCCGACAAAAATCCGTAAGAAAATTGAGTTTATTCAGATTAATTGTTTTGTAGAATAGGAGCAGGGAATACTCACCTGTTTATTACTGACTAAATAACAGCTTTATGATGCTTAATTAGCTGTGTTTTATATGTTCTCGTTTGCATTTTGCAACTCTGCAGAAAGACCCATTAGAAAGGTTTCCTCATTAGCTGGTCGGACTGCAATCTGGCAACATTTAGGATTCCTTCAAAGCATATTTGCTGTCGTAATTAGTGCAGAATAAATGCTGCTGAAGACACTGCAGGGAAAACAAGTCATCTCCTAAAAGATTTGTATACAATATTACAGGTGTAGGAAGATAGCAGTGGTTGAAACTGATCATTTAATACCACTACTACACTTCACATATCACCATATTGTCTTATGATAAGATTTGTGTTTTCAACTATTTATAAATAAAATGAGTTGTGTTGTGAATGCAGGTGGAAAGGAGCGTGCATTTCTTTAGATTACATCACTGGTCATGCAAACACACGTCAAGACAGAAGCTGGTGATGAATGGATGAGTAGATGAATGGATGTTATAAAAACGGCAAACATTAATATCTGTTTAATTTACTCCAATGTCAGCCTTAGTTTGGGAGATTTGGATTGTCTGAGGCTGTTTGTTTTGACACTTTTTTGCTCGAAAATTATGATGAATTATGAATTATCTCTCCACAGCTGGGCAGCCTCTCACCTGCTGTGACACGCTGCAGGAATTACACAAGCCCAATGTTATCGAGGCTTTTTAGAAACGACAGAATCAAAAGACAATTTTTCCGCCAACTACAGAGATGTTTTGTCTATATTTTAAACCTGACTACTACTGACATGTGGATGAAATATTGCACACATTTCCATTAAAACAACAATTACTTTAAGGACGTGAGAGTATTTCCCACATTACAATGTAAAATCAAATTTTTATAAATGAATTGTACACATTGCACTCAAACTTTACCTCCATGCTTTACCTCCAACTCTTTCCTGATTGGAGATCAATAAAGTATTTAAACCAATCTAAAACAATATTACTATATATGCAATATATCCTCTATCTGTCTACTGTTTATATATATATATTTACATTTTAATTTATTTTGAATTTATGTGCAATGCCTTGTTTACATGTGCTGTAACATAACAATTTCCCAATTTGTGTTTAATAAAGCTTATTTAATCTCTACGAAAATAATCTAATCTAATAATTTGAGAGATACCTTACATTTCATTTAGCTGTGAGTGTGTGTGTGTGTGTGTGTGTGGGTGTGTGTGTGTGTGTGTGTGTGTGGCGGCCGTGAAAAAAGAAAACAAATTCAAACTGATTGAAACCTGCTTTCGCAATTTGCGTCCAAATTTAGAAAATGAGAAACTGTACCAAGAAGGGAAATTAAATGCAGATGTTGTAGCTAAAAATAAACCTCAGCAATTCCCCACATGTCTCAAAGGGAGGGGAACTCAACAGCAACTTGAAAGCAAAACCACACATCCAACACAACAACATGAAATGAAAGAAATTAGGGGAATTAAAGGGGGACTGACTTGGATGAAGCCCACATGATCCAAACCTCCCACTGATACATGGCTGATGCCCAGCAAGCGCATGAAAAAAGAAAATCTCTGCTTTTCTTTATTCGCCATGCACTGGCAGCCATTGCATTTCAGGGTCTCCAATAACACACAGATTAATCCAGCTGGAAGAGGCTCCATGCAAACACTGTTAGGGCTGCATCCCAACATTAACAAAGCCCCACACTGCATGACAAAAGGAGTGTGAGACCCACTAAACCTGGCAGGGAACGAGGGATATTGAGATAGAAAGAATAACAAGATGAGAGGTTTTTGGAAAAAAGGGAGGAATTGCATAAAATTGTATTTTTTGTAATATAATACGTTTTATTTGAAGGAAATCAATGCATTGCTTGTAATTCAGTTTTTTTGTTCTGAAAATAGAATGGTGAAGGAATGAGTCCTAAAACCCTGGAATGAGTCAGCATTTGACCACTTCCTGTTCTCTAGTGTGGATATCAATGGTTCAAATGTTGAACATGTTTTTGCTAGAAGCCTTTAAATGAGGAACGGTTGCTAACAAGTGTCTAAATGAGACGACTAAATGTCATCACGCTTAACATTAGCTGCCTTTAGCTTAGCGGTGGTGACGTGAAGTCATGTGACCTGTGCTGTAGTTCCTTTTGTCGCCCAACATTAGCCACCTTTAGCTTAGCGGTGGTGACGTGAAGTCATGTGACCGAGCTGTAGTTCCTTTATAGCCCAACATTAGCCGCCTTTAGCTTAGCGGTGGTGACGTGAAGTCATGTGACCGTGCTGTAGTTCCTTTATAGCCCAACATTAGCCACCTTTAGCTTAGCGGTGGTGACGTGAAGTCATGTGACCTGTGCTGTAGTTCCTTTTGTAGCCTAACGTTAGCATTTTACTTCATAAATCATAGAGTGGTGTTAATATGTGGAGATTATGCTGCTGAACAAAATGTGTAAGTATCATAAAAGATACAATTATAGTTACATGAGGGAGAAGTAGTAGTAGACAACATTTGTATGATGAAGTAGTTTTGTAGCTCAGGTTTAGTGAATGGGGAAGCAGCCCGAGTTAAAATGATCAGCTCACACAGCCAGAGAGCAGAGGCCGACCGTGACCACCTGAGGACAAGTTGTTGGTATTAACTGGACAAAATGCTCCGACTGATATCTGCTCCTCTTCACGCTCACTGGAGCTCAGCAGCAACAGCAGCTTCACAGAGGAAGAGCAACGTGATGCTGAGTTTCATCTGGAGCTGCAGAGAGTTATTGAGGAGAATAAAAACATCTCTGCTCTGCAAAAGGTGAGCATAATGCTTTAAATTGCTTATTCAAAAAGTTAATATTCTAAAAGTCCCCTTACATAAAATGTGGGATGTGGATTGTATCCACTACACTTACTGTACACCCCACAAATACAAATATTATGGGCAAAATATTATTTTAATTAAGCTTTTAATTAGCAATATACCCCTTGCTTTTTTACATTTATTTTATCATAATTGTTTTTATTTACCTTTCATGTTTTTATTTGAATTTCTTTATATTAAAATGAATTACTTTATTATATTTACACATTTTGCGTTTGTAAATATCAGTATTGTGGTCACAAATTGTGTCTTATTTCAATCCTACTTCTACCGAGAGGGTTATCTTTTGTCAACTTTTAGATCATTTCCTAGATTTATTTTGCTTTTATTTATTTTAAATTGTTGTTAGTTTCAGTATTGTGGTCACGGGGGAGGCCTCGCTGCACGGTGGCTGTGTGTGGATGCTGGGGAGATGATGAAATGATGGGATTCGTACCTGGGATGGTGGTAGGGTCGCTGGCGGTTCTGAAGGAGACGACACCCGGCTCTGATTTTCCCTGCTGGTTCTCGGCCACCACGTACACCTCGTACTCCGTGTTCCAGTCCAGGCCGCTCAGCGTTGCGTGATCGCTGCTGTCAGGCATTCGGATCTCTGGCTTCCACTCAGACACGTGCTTCTGAAACATACAATAATATACACAGGACACAAATCAACACTGTGCAATCAACTGTTAAACACCTGAACTTTTTAAAGAACATCCATAACATTCATCTGTTTGCAACTTACAAATGATTTATCTAATATCATATTCCAATTGCTTGTACATAGACTCTCCTTGCACTATTTCTATTGATTTTATTTGTATTTACAAGCACTATTTGATGTCTTTTAATGTGTAGCATAGGCTATTCTTCCTGGGCTCCTCACTGACACTGTCAAACATACATAAAACAAAACAGCTCATAATTTCATGCAATGTACAGTGCTATATGAAGTGAAAACTAAAATGGTCATCCAATGTTAGCCATCATAAGGCCAAACAATAATACATACATAGCCACAGGCACAGTTCAATTATACGTTATACTGTAATACTGAGATTTTTTTAGCAACCTTTTGAATTATACATGAGAATTTTCATGAATGAAAAGTTAAACCTTTCAAATCAGCTTTAATATCTTCATTCAAACTAAACTAATATTTTTAATTTTGCAAATTTCAACTGATTGACAGCTTATTTTTGGTCAATTTCTACCTTTATCTTCACCTAAATGCATTTTCTTGAATTCTGGCAACCTCAAAAGTATCACCAAATGATTGGGCATGCATAATTTAGTTGGATATGACACCTTAAATGTTTTTCTACAATGTTTGGTTCCAAAATTAAGCGTGTTTGAACATTTGACCCAAGAGACTGGCGGCCATCTTGGATTTGACCTCTCACGGTCCTCACAGGTCAAATCTGACTTCCCTTCACATCTGAAAATAAACCTTATGGTATGCACTAACTATGCTAGAAATGTCATGCTTTTCTCATAAAATGCACAATTGTTATAATATGAGAGCTTATCCGCTGTACTATAACCATTGCATACTGTATGTTGTATTATACACATCTTTACATATTTTGTTGATGTTATATTTTGTACAATGTGCATGTACATTTTCTAACTTCTATTATTTATTTAGATCTTTTTGTAAAATGTTATCTTTTTATTGCACATTTTCCCTTTAATATGTTATGTTAACAAAAATAATTGTAAATCCTATTTATTTTTTTAATTGCCTATACTCTTACTTTAACTACTTAGTTTTGTAAAAATATATATTTGATGTTTTATCTATACAATTACGCACTGTCATGAAACCCAGTTTTTCACCGGAATAAAAATAGATTAAATCGTATTCCTGTTTGGTGAGTATTTCCAAGCATTGGTTATTAACATTTATTATGAAACCACGGCATTATTGTTTAAAAAGCTCTGTACTCACAGCCTTGTATCGGACCAGGTAGTGTTTGATGGGGGATCCGCCGTCGTCCTGCTTGATCCAGTTCACCTTCAGAGAGTTGCCCCTCTCCAGGACCTTCACCTCCAGTTTAGGTGCACTAGGTTCCCCTGCACAGAGAAAGAGAGCAATTAGTTGACATAAATATGGTTGTTGCATCAACTTTAGCCTCTAAATTCAAGTAAACTACTCTGCTTCTACTCCTACTACTATTGTAAAGTTCGCTTAAACCTACACTGTCAAAAAAAAACGCTTATATTAGCATTTCTTAAAGGAAACTGTGTTGCTGAGTTTGGGGGAATATAGTGGTGCAGGAATGAGTTGTAAAACCGAGAAATGAGTCTGCATTTTAGCCCTTCCTGTTTCCTTTTCTGGAAGTCAATGTTTTTTTTGGACGTGTTTTACTGTAGGTTAGAAGCCTGAAATAAGGTCTGTGGTTAACACAAGCTGAAGAGATTTTGTTCTGCGACATAAAATACATCAGTAAATACCCCACTGGTGAATAAAAAAAACGGCGGTTGCTAACAAGTGTCTAATTGAGACGACTACACTTCATCACGCCCAACATTAGCCGCCTTTAGCTTAGCGGTGGTGACATGAAGTCATGTGACCGTGCTGTAGTTCCTTTATAGCCCAACATTAGCTGCCTTTAGCTTAGCGGTGGTGACATGAAGTCATGTGACCGTGCTGTAGTTCCTTTATAGCCCAACATTAGCCACCTTTAGCTTAGCAGTGGTGAAGTGAAGTCATGTGACCGTGCTGTAGTTCCTTTATAGCCCAACATTAGCCACCTTTAGCTTAGCGGTGGTGACGTGAAGTCATGTGACCGTGCTGTAGTTCTTTTATAGCCCAACATTAGCCACCTTTAGCTTAGCGGTGGTGACGTGAAGTCATGTGACCGTGCTGTAGTTCCTTTATAGCCCAACATTAGCCACCTTTAGCTTAGCGGTGGTGACATGAAGTCATGTGACCGTGCTGTAGTTCCTTTACAGCCCAACATTAGCTGCCTTTAGCTTAGCGGTGGTGACGTGAAGTCATGTGACCGTGCTGTAGTTCCTTTATAGCCCAACATTAGCCTCCTTTAGCTTAGCGGTGGTGACATGAAGTCATGTGACCGTGCTGTAGTTCCTTTATAGCCCAACATTAGCCTCCTTTAGCTTAGCGGTGGTGACGTGAATAGCTTATAGCCTATCAACAAGTGGTGTAATATGTAGAGATTATCCTGCTAAGTATCATAAAACTTAAAAGCATAATGCAAAATCAAATGGAAAATTCCCCACAAAGGGAACCAGGGAGAAGCTAACTTCCTAAATTCGGACTAAAAAAATCAATCTTCCCTGCACCACTTTATTGCAGAAACCAACAAAGCGTGTTTTCAAATATGAAATACATATTGTGAGTGTGTTTCCCTTTAAGGCAGTGCGGAGGTGTCTCTCTCCTTGAAGCCTCTCATTATCTGCTCTGCCTGCTGAGTTATGGCGGCTGGGTCGCTGGATAATGAGCCTGTAGACCTTGATTGGACGTGTTACTCTATTACTTCTCATAATGTATACATAGTGTTGAGGGAGGGCAGGTGGAGGTGTTTAGTATGCATGGGTTGAGGCGTTTTCTCTCATTCCAATGTAAGGGCTGTAAGGGAGGAGACTGACAACCCAGACTCATTAATTATGTACATATTTGGTTGCACACAGATAGCCTTGGGATGATGTATTTAAATGGTCTACCTCATGATAGTACAGCCTTTGCCCTGTGCTAACACTCTCTCATAATAGCAGGTGGGAAGAAAATATGATATTCTACGTTATCAAAGACAATGTGCAGACTTTAACATGTGTAACATTGGCAGACATTTCAAATGGACAATCTCAGTGTTAGTGGTAATTAAATGAATATGCATGAAGGCACTTTTTCTGGTTGTGAGCTATCATCTGAGCTGCATTCGTCTACACAGGACTGAACATGACAGATGCTGGAAGTAAATCAGACAGTTGGTTAGTGACAGCAGCGTAACACGAGGCCGGTTAAACATCGGGACATTCAGCAGGGTTATTCACAGGCATCATTCTGGGTTAGCTCATTTTCTCTGAGGCTAAAACTGAGAGAGAAGGGGTTAGAACGACAAGCTTCTCCATGCAGACTGGAGCATCTCACCCTGAAACACATTCAATGCCAACTTATGTGGCACCCTCACTCTTTAAAGCGTACATTGAGACATAAAGGGAATTGAAAAGAGTCATTGAATACATGCTGTTGGATACAGAAATGTAGTTTTGGAGTGCTTGACGTCAATTGTTTGTCTGAAATACAGTAAGGATTAATGCTAAAAATAAATCATGCAATCCTGTGTTTTTTCTCAGAATTCGGACTTGAATCCATTTTTTACATCCAATCCTTTCTCAAAACTATACAACTTGGAAAAATAATGATATGTTTATATTGTCAATGTAGAAATGCAAGACACAGACGCATGCAGACAGGGTGGACTTGTCTTTTAGAAGAAGAGCTTAGAATAAGAAAGAGGATGCAACAAGGAACAGACGTGCATGCTGCAGTAATGCAATCACACACTGCAGATGACCTTTGGAACAAATAAGAGAAGTTCGATGTGTAAGGTGAAAATGAACTTGCAATGCAGTCTGCGGCACTTTGTGAAGATGCTCTCATGATGTTTAAATGTGATAAAAAATGAAATGGCTAAAGAAAAAATAGAACAAAAGATCTGCTTGTTTCAGAACGAGTAAAAACTAGCGCTATCTGGAAGAATAATTTAAAGTCAAAGGGCTTTCAAAACGAATTTCTACCGACATTTCTAATCAAGGTTTAAATAAATAAGAACACCAGAGAATCACACATTTAGAGTTTGTCTGGATTTAAATTGAGATTCTCCCTCTCCCTGATTCTTTAACGAATCGGGGATAATATGTTTATTTGGTTATACCGTTTTCTCTCCTTTGCACTTTGGCTGATTGAGAAATGTGAATCCTGAACAACCTCAGCTTCTCAGTAACCAACGTGAGAAAAGACAAATGCAATGTTAGATTTACAAACAAATTGCAATTTCATCTGTTGTATTAATGCAGGTAGAGTTCACAGATGGGTGGCGATAGCATTATGTATTTCACTTTAAATCAAGGACATGTTGTAATAAATTCATTCAAATGTGTCTCAGCTAGCTCTGGAGAAATGAAAGACCCCATTCACACCTGGTGTTATCTATAGACTTGACTATATAGTCATATTTATTATGGTTTTATGGTAATTATGATATTATTAATGCATGTTAAAGCAGGGGTAACAGCAAGCACAACACACAAGGTCAATGAGTTAATAGTCACATACAACTAGCTTGCTTAACCAGAAGGCCCTGGTGTGTCTTTTCTACATCATAAAGATAATGCATTTGTAATCAGGCTCTACAAGGAGAAAAGTCAGGCATTGTTACGAAATGAAAGCAATGAAGAATGGGCAGAATGATCATAGTTAGCAAGAGACATTCTTAAGATGAAGAATGATGATTATTTACTATATATTAACAGAAAAAGATGAATGAAAGATGGCTAAATGAAAAGTGATGAATGCGTCTCCTATGTGTCTAAAGTCTTCTGAATGACCATTTCTGATGTCGTGATCTCAAACTAAACAAAATAAATTACCTTCTGTTGGCCAGCGGAGACGACATCATCAGCACCATGCAAGAGCCACATGACACAGTCACATGATGTGCACGCACATGATTGGTCATTTGGAAATTAAAGAGGGAGGAGGAGGAGGAGGGTGGGGCATATGGAAAACACATAAAACATTGGTGAAAAATGATGAACAAATTTCAACATAAATAACAAATGAACATTAATGTTAAAGGCAAAATGACAAAAAACAAATAACCAAGAGAAAAATATAAATCAATAAACACATTTTTTAAAATATATATAAACAAAACTGAATACATGAAGCAGTTCTGGACGTTTTGTTTTTGGAAGCATGTAGAATATTAATAAATGGATAAATAAACAATTTGGTGATGATTTTAAGATATGAATTCAGGGGATAGGACATCCAGAACAGCGTCATGCATCCACATAATCAACAGGTTTTCCTCTTTTTCTTATTCTAATGTATTAGATTTGAGTTTGTTCAGGGTCAGAACAGAGGGAAATCTGCAGCTTTGACACAACATGCCAACTACATATGAAACACAACACAACAGAATGAACACATGAAACATCAGGACAATCTAGAAGCATTTGTGTGACGCACTTGCAGAAAAAACACACTACGAACAATCTTAGCGTCAAATGTAACGCCGAATGTGATTAAAAGAAAGGTTAAGTTAGGACATACAATTCTCATACAGTACATCATTTATATGAGCAACATTAATCACACAACAGTTAATCCGGTGAGTTGGGACCAAACACACAAATCAGCTTTGTTTACCTCCCATGTTGCCTCAGGGATTAAAGCAATAAGCAGTCAAATGGGTTAGTTTCTTAAAGCTGTGATCAGCTATAACTTGACTGAAATAATGATCAGATGTCAGCAGGGGCTAATCAGTGTCGCACATCTGGATTAATCCTAAAAACTGCTGTGAACACGCTGCCAAGAATGACAGATGATCTGAGCCGAAAGGACAAAGAAACGATAAGAAACATCGAGCGGTTCTCAGGAAAAGTTTACAGTGACAGATGTGATAAGAACTGCTATGATGAAACCCAACACATCTTTGCAGGGTGGTACTGTAGAAATAATGCATAACTGATTTAATCATGTTACCTTTGTATCATGACTGTCTGGGTTTATACAATCAGAATGTTCCCTGCTGAAGAAGGATGATATGGGATTATTGATGGTCCAAATATGGAGTGTTACTGTGAGGAATAGAGCTGTCAGACTCTCTGTCTTTTCAGATACATATTGGTTGACTTCAAGTATTCTGTCTTAAAACAATACAATCTTTTACTTCAATCAACAGTGTGTCTGTGTTTCCATTGAGTTCTTGTACAGTATATTGTTCAGAGTGTTGAGGTATCCGATCATCTGTGAAGTCCCTACCCTAACCCTAACCAATGCATCAAATAAGACAAATAAATTAAGTTTTAAAGCAGAAAATAACTGAGGTCAGCACCACTATGTTGCCTCTCACAGTCCAAGATGGTGACTGTAAGCATTGCCAGTAAGTCGTAAATATATTCTAATGCTGTGTTTTGTCCGGCTTAAATGGTATCCATGACAAATGTAGTTGGATTAAATACTTGATTTGAATTCCCCAGTTGGATCTTGATATCAATGGAACTTAGAAATGGGGATTACAGTAAATGATGTGTGAGGAGAATAGAAGATTTCCAATGCAATCCTTGGTTTGCACTTCTGCCAGCTCACAATCCAAGATGGCAACTGTAGACGAACTAATAATAAGTGGTGTCTTATGCAAAATAAATATATGCCAATGTTGTGTTTATCTGATATTTGTAGTTATTTTTACTTTAGTGACCTTTAGATGAAAGACTTAACTTAAATGCAGTAGTTTGGTGTTGCCATTAATGGTACAGAGGGTTAACCCTAACCTAAGGTCTTAGCATGGAGTCTACTTTTACTACAAAATGTTTTGTAATCTGCGTTTTTAACTTTGAAGTCTGCATCCTCCGAAGTTTACAGGTCACAACATACTTAGCATACCCTCTTATGTTAGCTTAGCTCATTTAGCTACAGCTGAGATGCTTCGCTGCAGACTTTAACAAGTTACAACGTACATATTATTGGTATATTATCTATAATATCTGCATTTAATCGTCTAAAAATGACTATATGTTTGCTGACGTGTGGTGAGGTCAGTAACAGGTCAATAACGCTACAGAAAAACAATATTGAAATATAAAGCTAATATGCTACACAGTTGAAATGCATGCTACTGAATGTTTAGCGTCATACAACGTTGCAAGAACAAATCTTAACAACAAATTGACTCTTAGTTCATTGCAACACAATCAAAGAAGTCTTTAGTTAGGACTGTGATTGAAGTCTTGACAAACAGTGTTAATTTTGTCACACACAACACTATAGTGCGGCTGTTAGCAGGGCAACCTTCATGGTCTGGACACATGTTAGTAGAATCATATCTAAATCAAGACTGTTAGAAAAAGCCAAATTCATTTTTTCGGTGACTAAAATCTACGGACAGTGTGTGTGTGTGAGGAACACCATAAACATCTGTGAGGCCAAGCAGATAGAGATACATGACGAGGGCAAGAGACACACACTGCTCACCGGCATACTCACTAAGGGCCAAACTGGTGGCAGCAATAGGAGGAGGGGTCTCTGAGGAAACTGAGAGATGGTGGAGACATGGTGAGTGGAGCTGGGATCTTCTCAACAGGAGATCATTCTGTTTTTATATTCAATATCTGTGATAAAGTAGTGCTCGTCACATGCACTGTGATGCATACATGTTGCTTTTTGCATCACATCCTGTTAACTCCATGGACATTCAGAGATATTACTTTGAGCTCCGCAAGAGGAGGTAAGCAGTACAATCTTCAACACAACTGTACACCTGTTACGGACACTATAATGCATGTTCATGTACAATAAAACCAATACTAACACCATTAACTTCAGTTTTTCTCTTCTGGAAATTGGTTTGAATTCGGCTATAAGAGGGTAGGACCCAGTACGATCCATTTTCAGTTCAGACTATTTGGCAACATTTGACACCTGATATCTTCATTGTCATGTATATTTATGTACAATAACACCAATAGAATAACCAATAATGAAGATCAGAGCCTGTCTATATCAATGCCACGTAATACAAATACATCGTCCTTAACTTGTCCTTGTGATTAGTTCTGTATGTATTTAAGTTCTGGTTTTCTGTCAGTGTGTGTCCTTCGTCTTCTGCTTTGTTTTGCCATGTCCTTCCTGAATGTAACGTTGAATAAAGGTATTTCGTTTTGTTCCTCCGTGCTCAGTTTTCTCCATGAAAGAACTGGCCTCAGAACAGGAAGTGGATTCCTTTATTTCTTAATATTAAAGATTAAAGAGGGGATGTAATCAAATCTCCCCGAAAATAATACCTGTAAGCATTAAGAGAACTTCTCAAAGCAAACTATTTTGCAGAGCTTTTTGTTTTGCTACCCTTGGACTACAGCAATTAAAACTCTTCTAAGTCTAGCTTACGTTCTTCTGAGGCATAGCACGAACAACAACACGCTATTATCTCCTGAAACCAACATAATGCCAAAGGTGATGTGTAAAAAATGCATAACTATTTTGTCTAAAATGTAAAATGCAGCAGTAAGCATGTGTCTAAAGAAAGCTGCAGCTCTCCAGAAGTAATAAGAGTTTCTCTTAATACACATTCAAGTCTAACGGCCAAATTACAGGTGCCAAAATAAAAGCACACCATGAGCTCAGACGGGAGTCCTAAAGACTTTCTGGGCCTGCATATTTAAACCTGATGTTTCCAAAGAGGGCCGTTTATGTGCCCTGCTTTCAACATTACCACCAGTAAATATGCTAATTCCACGTTAATTACCACAACCTCGTAGTGGTGTCTGAAGCCAGGATATAACCATCTGAAACAACACATCGGCTGAACTACTGGGACACAACAAAGAAAACTCACTATGAGCAAGACTTGGAAGGGTTTCAATGAAGTCTAAAGGGTTCAAATAACACACTGACTACAGACTGTCATATCTATCTCATTACTAAACAAACCTGTGACTGCGTTAAAGTAATGGAACGGACTGTCGTCTGGAAAATGTGTACAACAGGAAATGAGTGCTATTCTTTAATGATTAAAGCGAATGTTCTAATATAGAGGGAACAGTCTGGGAGATAAATGCAGTGAAGATGGGAAATGTGAGGGGAGAAGACAGGAAGAAATGAAACTTACTTGTGAAAGAATATTCTGAGAAGTCCAATGGGTTACAGAACAGATGATGGGAAAAACAATAAAAACAGAGACAATGAGATGAGAAATATGAACAATGAGAGGGAAAAGCTTTCTGACACGCTGCTCCTCTATGATCATATTATATTATAAAAGTAATTACAAATGTCATTTTTTAAGGGCCTCTTGATAGAACATTTGTTAAAAAAAAAATTCAACATTATTTAGTTTGCTTTATTTGACTGTATTGAAAGTTAAGATATTGATAATGGTTAATATTGCTTATTGAAATGCTAATTAATTTGTTCATGTAGAAAAGTAACCATTAATCAATTTAAGTAGACTGAACATGGGTTTGTTTTTGTATTAATTACAATTACAGTGAACTCAAATAGTTAATCTGAATTGATATGGGTTAGTTAGAACTAAGTATAAAACTAGAATTCGTTTTAAAAGTACAGTACTCAAATTAGTTGAGCTTACATTATTTATTGAATTAAACAGAATTACTTAATAACAGTACATCAAAATGTTTTGGGCAATATTTGACCTAAATAAAATTAAGTAAATTCAACACAGTCATAATAAGTAAGTAATTAATCTTCTGTTTTGTTAGTGATACACAATGTAAGGTTTGAGCTGAGTTTCTACATTCAAAATGTACCATTGTAAGCTAAATAAACACCTCGCACAGTGTTTGTTGTTGGAACATCTTGAAATAGGACACGACCTCTCTCTCTGGGACATAATGAGGATGCTGAGGAGGGGGTTTCTGCAGGAGCACAGATGGAGGCGTGACAGAGGCCGGTACAAACGCTGAGTTAGAGTCTGCTGATTTCTAAATGTAGCCTGAATGAACTCACTCGTAGGTCGGTCTCTATCTAGCATTTTATCCCTTCTTCTGTATATTTTATTTTGTGTTTTCTTTAGTTATAAAAATATATCTTTCTACTGTTCTTTTGTTTGGTTTTACTGTTTATTTTATTATATGTTTAACTCATTTGCAATACCTTGTTTACATGCTGATGTAACAAAACATTTCCCGATTTTGGAATCAATAATTATATTTTGTATCAAACTAATAAACACTTTCTGGAAAATGTAAATTGAGATCTTAAGAGTTTTGAATGCATGAATCTCTCCAGCTGTCAGATTTAATTTTTGGACCTGTATTTCATGCTTTAACGAGGAAGCATTATCTGACATGTTGTTGCTCATAACTAAACAGAAAATTGACACGTTTTATGTCTGGCTGACACTCTGTGATGGATGACAGGTGCAGCACACCTGCTCTCAGCTGATGGAGCCATATGCCCAACAGACGGAGGATTATTATTATATCTCCCTGTAGAATATTTTTATGTATTTGTTTATTCCACACATGGCAATTGTTTTAAAACAAAACATGTTCACTTATACTGTGTTTTATTTTTTTTAAAGCGCATGGTGGAAAGAAGCAGGGAGAAGAAAATCTTATTTTACCTGCCCCTTTCTTACAAAAAAAAAAATGAAATAACCATGAAGAAGTCAAATAAATACTATAATAAAGTAAATAATGAAACTATAATGAAGTACATTGATTCAAGTATTTAAGTACAATTCTGAGGTACTTTATTCTTATTTAATGCTACTTAAATTATTTTAATATTTTGTCAGTCATTATTGTACTTTTCACTCTGCTACATTTATCTGACATCTTTAGTTGAATACTGGATTCTGATTGGTCAGCTTGGACATTCCAGTGGTTGTTAAATCTCGCTAACAAGCTGTTGCTAAGGAGAACAGACCGTTGCTAAGGAGGATGTGCAGTCATATCAATCCGCAGAAAGAAGTCCGGTCGATTTAAGTACAACTACTTTAGTAAATATACTTAGTTAATGTCCCCTACTGTATATAATTATAGGTTAAGACATCCATCCACAGGGTTTAATTAAAATGAGCCCCACCTTTACCAGCTGTGATGAACACATTAATGCATCAATAATCATAATCCAGTCATTTAATATCTATGATTCTAAAATGAGACGACAAAGGCAATATGTACTTATACTTTTGGTACTTTAGATATATCTGATGCCAATACTAATGTATTTAGGTTTGTTTTTTCTGCAGTATTTCTACTCTAACTAAAGTAAAAGGTACTTCTGTCGCTGCTTCGAGTGTTTCTCTTTCACCTCTGAAACTTCATCACGCGCTGCCATTCAATAAATGTACCGACCTTCAGCAGGACTGAGTACTGCTGTGTGAACAAAGGGTCGATGTACTATACATACGGACACTTCTTCACACTGAGTTCATGTTATCAGCCTTAGAGATGAAAAACACTTTTACTAAATCACCTGAAAACACAAAGGAAGAAGGCTCGGTCTGCCTTCTAAACTGAACACATTCATGAGGAAAGATACACATAATACTGTTGAACACTGAAGGACACATGGGTAACACGTTGCATCTGTGATAACACTATCGAGTGGTGCAGGAATGAGTGGTTTTTTAATGTGTTTTCGGTGAGGACCCTGAAATAAGGTCTGTGGTTAACTCAAGCTGAAGAGATTAATTTTTTTACGACATAAAATACATCGGTAAATACCCCACTGGTGAATTTAAAACGGTGGTTGCTAACAAGTGTCTAAATGAGACGACTAAACGTCATCACGCCCATAATTAGCCGCCTTTAGCTTAGCGGTGGTGACGTGAAGTCATGTGACCGTGCTGTAGTTCCTTTATAGCCCAACATTAGCCGCCTTTAGCTTAGCGGTGGTGACGTGAAGTCATGTGACCGTGCTGTAGTTCCTTTATAGCCCAACATTAGCCTCCTTTAGCTTAGCGGTGGTGACGTGAAGTCATGTGACCGTGCTCTAGTTCCTTTATAGCCCAACATTAGCCACCTTTAGCTTAGCGGTGGTGACGTGAAGTCATGTGACCGTGCTCTAGTTCCTTTATAGACTAACGTTAGCGTTTTATTTCTAGAGATTACATTTGTTCCTTCAACTATTGTTAAAGTGGTGTTGATATGTGGAGATTATCCTGCTGAACAAAAGTACAAGTATCATAAACGCGTGTTTGCCACAGATCTTATTTTCTGCAATAATCAAAAATCCAATTGAAAAATCCCCATTGGCTTTTTGTGGAGGGAACCAGGGAGATGATGCCTTCAGGGTCCACTACAAAAACCTGTCATCCCTGCACCACTCTGTGAACTACGCCGGATTATGAAGTGAATAGCGTTCGTCCTGGATTCTGTGAAAAGGGATGAGGGGTCTTGGCGTGAGAATAGAGGAGAGAGGAGCTGAAAGCATGGAGGTGGAGTGAACAGCGTTAGCTTCAAAGCGTTGGGGTCAGAGGAGCGTTTACGGGTTTTTTTTGGGGGAAAAGTACTTACGGACGGGCTCGGTGGTGAAGCTGCTCACCGCGCTGCTCTCGCCTTCTCCTTTTCCGTTGATGGCGGACATCTTGACCTCGTAGGTGGTCTCCGGCTTCAGGCCAGCGATGGTGATGCTGATCAGGTCTGTGGCGAAAAGGTGGTGTTATTTAAATGCATGGATAAACAGAAACACAATACAATACCATTACCATCATAGCAAAACACTCTGCTATATAACATGTGCAATATTATTAATAATGTTCTATAATAACGCGCAATTACGTATCTGCCACTACGTTTTTTTGCACTACTCAATACTGCACAGTTTTTTACATTCATTATTTGACCGTCTATGTTACTTGTAGTTATTTAATTGCTCTTTTTACTGCACTGTAAGTGTCCAGTTGTATTATTATGCTGCTGTGTTTATTGTATCTTTGTAACTCTGGCACAACAATTTCCTTCGGGATAAATAAAGTCCTATCTTATCTTATCTTATCTTACGCAGCGTCCACACGGCGGCGTGCGTTGAAGCTTGCCGGCGGGCGTGTCTGAAACTCGACCAACAACCAATCACATCAATCTCCCGCCCCGGACACACAAGCACACGGTTTGATTGGCTAGAGCTTGTACTGGCATATGATTTGATTGGCTGACGCTTCCGTCGAAGCTTCAAAAGTTGAACATTGCTCAACTTTTGAAGCAAACAACGCGAGCAAAGCGAAGCGACGGAACCACAATGCAGTTCGGCAAAGCGTGACGTCACCCCATTCAAAGTGAATGGGCAGAAGCGTTGAAGCTTCAACGCACGCTGCCGTGTGGACGGGCCGTTACAGTACATGTGCTTTGTGAAGGCTTCATTAAAGCTTAGTCTTCTGCTATTAAAGCAAGGTGTAAGTCTTGTGGTAAAAACAAGAATTGTGGCGGCATTGAAATAAATATTTGAAAAATCTAAACAGCAAGTTTTGAAAGGTCTGTGGAAATTATTCTTAGAAAAAACGAAATCAAACACAACTTCCTGTCCCTGTTACCTATACAATTGGAGACGAGGGTCTCTTTCAATAAATAACAGAACAATTCATATGTTTTTTAAGATTTATATACATTTGACTCATATATACAGTATAGACCAAAAATATCATCAGTCTTGTGTTTTTCTCAGTTTGGTTTTCTATTCTGAAACATAAAGGACACACTTAAGGATAAGTCGTTGATCCAATCTCTATTTAGTCTGGGAGTAATTCCTTAAAGTATGCACTAGAGGTTTAACCTGTTAAGCCCCAAAGCCCCTGTCGGCGGGTCTTTTTTTTTTTCACAAATTAAAAAAAAAAAAAAAAACGTTTTTTTTTTAATTTTTTAATTTTTTATTAATTTTTTTAATTTTTATTTTTTTTCTTTGAATGGAATGAATACCTATGGTGATAATTCAATGTAATACATCATTTTTATAGTCTGGTACCTGAAAAAGGTCAAATGGCACTGATGGAACCAGATGTACCCAAATGTGCCAAAAGCTTATTCTGCCTGGAACTTCTTTTTGCTAAACCTCTCTAAAAAGGTCAAATTTAACTTGTTTTGCCTCAATCTTGATACAGGGTACTTATTATATGTTATAGTTTGGATTCCTAAAGCTTTTAGTCTACTAACCCATCATCCAAGGGTGGTTTTCACTATAAGTAATGGGTTTTTTGTAGGCGGAGGTAAGAATTTACCTTTTTTTACTATGTTCCATCTGAATTTACTCTAACTGAGAAAATCCATATTGATTCTGACACTTCTACATCCAACTCACAGATGTAACCTTGCTTTGATAAAAGAAATTATTCATATAACCCTTTTAGAAGTGAAGTTGTAGTCATTTGTTTTGGGCATGTCATTTTCGAGCCTGAAACCTGAAAAACAGGCTCGGGGCTTAACAGGATCATATTTATTTTTATGAAAAAGCACTACAATACATTTTCAGGCACTGATATTATGTTATTAGCGACGCACTGTTGTGATTTAACACTGATATCCATGTGCTTCACGACTTCAGTCTTGAAAGCCACTTGGTTGAGATCTCACTGTGTGACACAAAGGAGAGTAATTGCACGGCGGAGAGCCGATGTAGGTCTCTCTTTAAAGCAGCAGGGAAACATTTTTTTGTGTTGAATGTGTTTTAGAATAAAGTCTCGATGAGAAGGACTTTCTGAATGTGTTGCAGGTTTTGCTCAGGAAGGTTCATGACTGAGTGAAATGACCCGAAAAGTGTCAGCCATTATAAGAGCTGTTCTGACTCCCTAAATGATAGGAAAGGAGCTTCAATGCTTCCTTTATAATCTCCTTTAGCTTAGGATACACTGGACCATCATTAAAGAAAGGAAAGGAGAAGATACTGCCCCTCAATAACTTGGGAACGTAACATTTAACGTGACACAACATTCGGCTGCTCACAACCGATTGTGACGAACTAACGCTGCTCGTCCATCAGGTTGCAGGTGCTGATTCAGCATTAAACATCGTATTTAGTAAGTTGCTAAAGTGCTTTTATGCTAATTACTGTCAAGATAAAATAAAGTTTCACTGTGATTACTGACTTTATTTCAACATGTTTGAATGGTGACTGAATGCATAGTAGTCGATGTGTAGGACTAACAAGTTATGATTATATTGGATAAAGATATTATATATATTTTCATACAACATATTAACTAATATATGTCTTTAGATAATTTACAATACTGTATTGGGTTTACATGCATTAATACGTGTGGACACGAGGTCGAGAAACTGTTTAATTACACTATTTTGATTTGAATTTCAATTCCAACCTTGGTAATGAAGAATATATTATTCATTGTTGTCCACTTTTATGAAGCCTGTATAAAACAACACCATAATAAATGTGCTTGTAGTAGAAATTGTATTTTTCTCCCAGTGTCTTTTCCTAAGTCCTGATGAATTGTCTTTCCTTTCCTTAACCCCATGATGTTTTCTAACTGAGGTTAGGGTAAAACCATTTAGGAAAAGACCCAGGAGCTGGTTTCTCTGACTGCGTGGGGAACTGAATGAATACAGATGAAAACATGAGGCCAGATGAATTGATGACTGTGCTTTTAGACGGTGACAGTGCAGAAAGCGCTCAGATTTCCTGCAGTAATTTACCGATGATACCACATGCTGCTTCCCTCGCCTCCTCGCAAAGGTTACCTCCACAAATCATTACAACTGTTATGAACACGACTGACTTCGGTGTGTGTTAATCATTGCGTTGCTTACTGCGGCATCAAACTGTTTATTGATGTGTGAGAGGAAACACATAAGCTAAATTATTACGGCTTATATCTGCAGCACACAGTCAAAGTTATAATCCCCGACAGTGATATGGTCTGTCTCCTAATGTATAGCAAAGATGGATATTAACAGTCTATTTGCATCATAAGTGCATTGATCTTGAATACAGACCATACATTAAAGGCTAACAGAGATATTTACTCCCTAAAATATGGAAATGATTACTCAGGTTTGAAGTGTACAGTATGAATCCAGCAGGTGCACCTTAACTGTTGTCTGTGCACACTGCAGAGTTAATCCTATATATGTGATGGGTGTGTCTATAGCAGGTAATACTGGTTTCAGACATGTGATGGCAGCAGGTTCACTTTAATGTGAGGAACACTTCATGTCATCTGTATGGACACATTTCAGCCACTGCATCATTCTGTCAGTAAAAAAATGCTATTTAAATTGAATTATTTAAATCAATTTCGTAATTAATTTTTGATTGTTTGTTTATATATAAACATTTGTATTATATATTTATTATTTTATTAATATATTTTTTTTAAAGATGTTCTTTAACTTCTTATGTTTTTATTTAATTTATTTAATTTTCATCTTTAAATTGCACATTATTTACTTTCCTAACCTTTCATGTTTATATAAATATTTTGCATTATTTTTATTTCATACTTAAAGGGGACCTATCATGCAAAATGCACTTGTGTACGTCTTTTCTACATGAATATGTGTCCCCGGTGTTCCAGGGAACTCACCAAGTGTCAGAAAACACAACCCTCTCTATTTTCCTCCATACCCAAATCTCTAAAAAAGGGGCTGCAACGGATCTGATAAAAACTGATCCAGATTTGAACACTGTCCTGACGTCAGGACGGTGGCGCTACGGCTATTGGGCCAACTCCACCAATCAGGAGGAGACAGCCACGGCCATTGCCGTTCGAAAGCGCTGGAGACGCTGTAGTACATATGCCAGGCCAGTAGATGGTGCTGTTCTCACTGAATCTGCCCTTGCTAAAACAGAGCTAAAAAATGTCAAATTGAGCAAAATGAGGCATGGCTAAAATGCATGATCTGTTTGGTATTTTGAAAAAGAAAAAAAAGTATAAATATGCCTTATATAGGTATGGTCCTACACTATATTATTCAAATATAGCATGATAGGTCCACTTTAAATGAAGCAACAGTCACACAAGATATTTTTTTCCCTTAATTAATAAAGTGTACTGTTTCTGATTGATGCTGATAAATATTATGTAGTCCTGATTTTACACATTTACGCTACAAATATACTACTCTATACTCATGTGCATTTAGACATAGTCAATGGTTATAATTGTGTAACATATAAGTCATATGTTTTCCTTTTCAGCTAAAGCATTTTAAATGTTTACGAGTGGTTATATTACCAACAGCAGTATCTGATGTAGGTTATTAAGTTATACAGTATTAGGTAACATTCACAGTTTTTGTGTGTGTGTGTGTGTGCATGTGTGTGTGTGTGTGTGTGACAGGCATCTATTCAGCGTTGCCTGTCAGCCGCAGACAGGACGAGGACCATGTGTATCTGCAACCACGAGGCCTCAGTGGGACGTGGATAATATCTGGAGCCGTCAGGGAGCTGTCAGTTACGCTGTGTTCGCTGTCATGTTTGGATTAACTGCTGTTGAAAATACTTGATGCATTTGTGGCACATATTACCTTTATGTTTAGTAAAGAATTACACCCCTAAAATATCTGTTTATGAATTCTCCTGGGATTAAAGTACCGGGTTGTACTAAAAAAGCCACGTACTTTTAAGGATTTTGTCTGAATAAGAATCAGGTTTTTTGCCAAGTATGCACAACCAAGAAATTGCTTTGGTGTATAATGGTGCTTACGTTAATTCAGTATAAAGGAATTAAGTTGTTAAAACATTTGCAAAAATAGAACCATCTAAGAATGCAAAATACAAAAATAAATGTCTACAATAAATAGAAATGAAAAAAAAAATACAAAACGAATAAAATTAAAATGTTAGTACAACAAATAACTCTGAAAAATGTAAAAGTAATATATATATATATACGTATACATATATATATTTTTTGTGTATCTTGTACGGCGACCTTGAGAGCCTTGAAAGGCGCCAATATGAATAAAATGATTTATTATTATTAAATCAGTATATCAGAATTTAAATTGGAAAAGCCGTGCAGTCTTCAAATATTGTCAGTGATGTTTGTTTCCTTTTTCCATTTGGGATTTATGGTTTGGCGCTACAGTTCTTATTGAGCTCCTGGTAATGAAAACAGTGTGAGTTAGTGTTGCTTCTGTCACACCTGAGCCCAATTCTGTTTTCTTATATAACTATTATATTTGTGTGAAAGCTGCAGCACGAATAGTATTTTCTCAGTTTCCCTTTGCACCGTTACATCGACAGTTGTTAGAATTTAGGAAAGGGATCTTGAATAAGAGGCAATATCTGAATATCTTTTACCCAAGGAGTGTTATTTATCAACGGAATAACCTTCTTCTGTTGGGATGTTTTTTTATTTTAAAAAGCAATATGCTTTTAAGACAAGATTAGAGTAGCTTTAGAGGATATTCAGGTGTAGCTGAAGCAGGTGATGCATTTTAAGAGACCGAAAATAAAACGCTGCCCCTGAAGAGAGAATGTAATTACATGGCTTGCATCCACTTTGCTTGATTAAAATGTTTTTCCAAGGCTTTTAGAGGAGATGCTTGTAAGTGCTGGTGACTCAGGGACGTAATTCAGGAGAAATATAGCAAGTGCCAGCTGCCATTAAAATATGATGCTTATAAAAGTCCTAAATGAGATTTCCCTCCAAAAACTTTTGTAAATATATTGAGTGAGTGAGCAAAGTTTTTAACAAAGCAGAATCTGGTGGGAAAATAGTGAATGTCCTCTTCCAGTATCAGAGTCCACATGATACCAAAGGTATCCCAACTGTAGCTGTGAACATGACAGGATGTATGATTACCTAGAAGAGCATCAGGACTGTTTGAGGCATATGATAGCTATGTGATTAACATGATGATTCAGCCTCTATGGAGATAGACATATGATAAGCATGCTCATTTCTGACGTGGAGCTAATCTGAAGTAAACATTGAATACTGCTTTCTATTCCTCCATCTTGTGACTGTGTAACTCCCTCTCTTGGATATCAGCATGTGAAGGACACTGTTCAGGAACTAGTTGATGCTCTGTATGTGATGACTACTTCCATTCTGGAGAGGATCACAAATACATGGATCCTGAGATTGAAGCTCAAGCCGGGGACCAGGGATTATTAACATTTTGAAGTGTTCAGAAAAAGTCCGAATTTTGAGAAAAAGTCTGATTTTTTAGATCTTTGAGAAAAAGTCTGATTTTTTAGATTTTTGAGAAAAAGTCTGATTTTTTAGATTTGGAGAAAAAGTCTGATTTTTTAGATTTGGAGAAAAAGTCTGATTTTTTAGATTTGGAGAAAAAGTCTGATTTTTTTTTATCTTTGAGAAAAAGTCTGATTTTTTTTATTTTTGAGAAAAAGTCAGATTTTTTTAGATTTTTTAGAAAAAGTCTGAATTTTGAGAAAAAGTCAGAATTTTGAGAATTTTGTACGTGACAGGATGTACTGCTTTCTATTCCTCCATCTTGTGACTGTGTAACTCCCTCTCTTGGATATCAGCATGTGAAGGACACTGTTCAGGAACTAGTTGATGCTCTGTATGTGATGACTACTTCCATTCTGGAGAGGATCACAGATACATGGATCCTGAGATTGAAGCTCAAGCCGATGACGAGAGAGATTTTTCTAACAGAATCCATCCGGAGAAATGATCCACTCACCGTCTTTAGCGTCGTGCTCCATGCTCTTCCAGTCCTGGCCAATCAGACGCCACTCCACCCTGTATCTGATGATGGGGACCCCCCCCCATGGAGTCAGGCTCCTCAAAGCTCACCACCGCGGTGCTGGAGAAAGGGTCCACCTGCTGGATCTCTGGAGAGGATGGCACCTCTGAAACAGAGAGGGAAACAAAGGGATTGGTCAATTTGGGAATCAGAATCAGAATCAGAATCAGAATCAGAATCAGAATCAGAATCAGAATCAGAATCAGAATCAGAATCAGAATCAGAACCAGAGTCAGAACCCCTCTATTCGTCCCACAGAGGGGAACTGCACATTGTTCCAGCAGAAAAGAGCCAAAGACAGCTTAATGTTACCTAAGAAGCTTGAATAAAAAAAGTTAGACAATTAAAAAAATACACATCCTGTAACAGTTCTGAGGATTTAGCAGCCAGGTATATATTTCAAAGTTATTAACGGCATATATCTATATATATATATATATGTATATATATATATATAGAACATATATAGATAGATATACAGAAGTCTGTTTATTTGTTCTAGCAAACCGTTGCTAGGGATGACACTCTGCTCAGTGGGACCATGTGCGGTCATATCAATCCGCAGAAAGTAGTCCGGTCAATTTAACGTCAGCTGTGGCTAACAAACATTAGTTCTTGTCATCGGAAAACACTGTTGCATACTTTTTGAATATTTCATTTTTATATTTGTGGAGAGCACGACATGACTTTGGATTCATGACGGCTAAACTGTCTCCAGTAAAGAAGGAGAGAGCTCCAGAAGGACAGAGTTTAAAAGACAGAGAACTGGACGTCAGAGAAATCAACAGAAGAAGACAGACAGGAAGTAAACACTAACGGGAACACAGCTCTGAAGTGTTTAAAGACTGGTTAATGGAAAATAAAATGAGAACAGACTTGGACAGTTCAAGAAAAACTCGATCAGTGCTGGTGTCATTTTAAATTAGGCAGCTGTCGCCACAGTTATAGCCGTTGGTGCAACGTGCAAAAGACCATTTTTTTTCTCAGTGGACGCAATATTTGGAAATGACTATTGTGAGTCAAGTCTTTGGAGCGGTGACACAGAGAAGGAGCAGACAATGCCATTTAGACTCAACACTACTCACCACTGACTGAGTTACTAGTTTCCTTATATTTACTTTATTTAACATACTTTTGTGGCACGAAAAAAGGTATTCTGATTGTGATTGTGATTCACTCCAGAGCTGACTTGATATCTCATCACACTGACTGTAAACAGTGTGTCATGTGGGTTTCAATACTGTCTGTTAAATGTAGGTCTACAGAGTCTGTTGTGGATATTAACTGTTTTATTAGGGTTAGTGTTGGGAAAATACTGAATGTTCCTTCTGTATCAGAGTAGCACATGATAACAGAGGCCCTACGTAGCTGTGTACGAAGCCGGATGTATGACTACATGGATGACGCTCATGAGACACTGTGTTGAAGTTATGATAGCTATGTTCCTAAGATTGGCATGATGACACAGCCCCTAGAGAGATAGGCATATGACTGTCATGTGTATTGCTTACGAAGGCCTTAGCTAATCTGAACTAATGTCAGAATACTGCTTTGAACCGGTATTCTTCCTTCTTGACTGTAACACCCTCTCTTGTATATAAAGCATATCAAGGACTCTACTCTGGGAACTATTTGTCCCACGCAGCCCTGTGTGTGATGACTACTTCCATTCTTGCAAGGATAATAAATACATGTGTCCTGATATTGAAGACCAAGCCGGTGTCGAGTGATATTTTTCTAACAGTTAGGATTTTATAGTATAATAGCCATGACACCTTTATTTCTTGCTGTTTTTTATAAAATAATTTCCGCTAAGCTAAAGGCGGCTAATGTTCAGCCTGATGACATTTGGTCGTGTCATTTAGACACTTGTTAGCAACAGTTTTTAAATTCACGAGTGGGGTATTTACTGACGTATTTTATGTCTTAGAACAAAATCTCTTCAGCTTGTGTTAACCACAGACCTAATTTCAGGCTAACAACCAAAAACACATTCAGAAACCATTGACTTTGAAGTGCTAAATAGTGACTGATCTCTGGGTTTTAGGACTCATTCCTGCATGGTCTTTTGAAATGCCTAAAAGTAAAACTACTGCTTGGTGCTACAAAGCATCACTAGGTCTTTTTAAGTGCTGTAAGGTGAAGGAATCAACTAATTATCAATCCATGTATGCATGTCTGCAAGCTTCCCACATCTACTCGATATTATCATGCTATCAGAAACCCTCCTGATAATGATACACTGACTGGATATTTTATGGATGGTGTACTATTAGAAGAGTATGTAGTGAAGAGGCTGTTTAATTATCCTTGAAATTTGAATCAATCTGTTTAGTGAAGCTTCTTGCCTCGTGCTGTGAAATATCTCATTGGCATATCAATATGGAGGATGAGTTGCACATTTGTGTGGGAGAGAAACTCCCTCTTCTTCAGGAAGGTACAATGCTCAATGACTCGAATGCACGAACCTGCTTGGATCAGAAGGAACTCCTTGGACTCAGAGCCCATCGCGTTGGAGGCGGTGCAGTTGTAGCTGCCGAAGTCATTCTGGGAATCAGGAGTGATCTGAGAGGAGATGGAAAAGAGACAAATACAGAGAGGTCACACAGGTGAACAAAAAGAAAATACTACACTGAGTAGACCCATGGATAACTTGAATTTGTATATTTTAAAAATAGATATTGTTATAATTAAAGTATATTCGGTGTCCTTGGTGTCATGAAAGGCGCCTTAAATCAAATGTAATATTATTATTATTACATTTAAGTATATTCAGGGTTGATTTAGGTCTTCGTTTGTTCTTCACATCTGTCATTGTTTATTGTTTTAGAGTATTGTAACACTACATGGTACGAGTGTTTGTCCACCACTTTAAAGTGAGAGCTGCTCCACTTCAACATCTGGTGGAAGATTGAAGGTCAACCCTTTGAGAACTCTATGAATCAACCGTCCATAAAAACATATTTACATTGTCTCTGAACATGAATTGTTTCCATCAAATCTCCACCATTTCATAAGGTTAGACTCACTGAGTAGACCCATGGATAACTGGAATGGCTTCCTTTATAGAACCTAAGTAGATATAGTTTTTATTATAAGTATATTTAAGTATATTCAGGGTTGATTTAGTTTCTTTCGCCTCAGGTCTTCTTTTGTTCTTCACATCGTTGATTTTTAGTGTTTTACAGAATTGTAACACCTCTGGCCGGAAGAGAACTGCTCCATTGCTTCTCTTAAACTCCCACTGTACATTTTACATTTATATTCAATTTCATATTGAATAATACATTTCTTGCACAATAATATCCTGCATTTTATTTGTTACTGGAAATGTGTATTTCCACATGTATATTTTCCACATGTATATATATTTTTTAACTTTTTTATTCTATTTTATTTCTATTTCAGAAATATTTACCTACCTACCTACCTACCTGTATCCATCCATCCATCCATCCATCCATCCATCCATCCATCCATCCATCTATCTATCTATCTATCTATCTATCTATCTATCCATCCATCCATCCATCCATCCATCCATCCATCCATCCATCCATCCATCCATCCATCCATCCATCTACCTACCTACCTACCTACCTACCTACCTACAACCATAATAACATATTTACATTGTCTCTGAAAAGTAATCACATCTGAGCTACAGGGTCCCATGATTGAATAAGGTTAGACTTAATTCAATCCCATGATTAAATACAGAGTGTAATCCTGTTTCTAATGTCCTTTTATGAGCCTTAAACAGATTGTCTTCATTGCTTATCCACGTGTTTTATATTATTACAGTATATAGTATTCATTCTAGAAAACACATTTCAATTGTACATTCCCTTTAATCTTATATGTAAATAATTGTCCTTTTCCTGCCACTTACTTGCACGATTTTGACTATTTCATTGCACTATTTGATGTCTTTCACCTTTATGTTAAGCTTACTGTTTGTTGCATTGTGGGAGGAGCCTGTGACTTCAGATCTTGAACTGTAGCTATTGTGCAGAATGATTCAGTGTGAAAGTGATCAAATATATACTGCGAGTGCCTATCATTACACGCTATATTGCATAAACTACGTAACCTCCCCTGCAATTACATTAATGCACACAATATCTGTTTTCTTTTTTTATTACTGCCGAATTGTATTCCATATTTTATTCCATTATATTTCGAAGTACAGATGGAGCATCTTATTTCAGACAGTTTGAAACGCGAGGGTCGTGATTGGGTCGTGATCGGTCCGTGATGAAGAGCCGGCCCCCAGTCTGACTTGATACCGCCCCCGTGATAAATACATTTAATTATTGTGAAGCCAGCTGCAATGGATCATTGATCCACCAGGGGGTGCAGTGGGGTTCCACACTGGAGCTCATGTGAAATCAACTTCGATACAGTAAGCTAGATGTACAGTATGTCTGGTACTAATGTATAAGCAGTAAGCTGGAGTCTGAAATAAGATGCTCCATCTGTAAATACTGTCATATTCACTATATTTAAAACAATATGTTTTAATGTTATTATAGTTTTCTTAAAATAGTTCTCTATCTGTGTTTTTTTATTTTTGTTTTACTTTTATGTATGCACCACGACACCAAGTCAAATTCCTCGTACGTGTCAACTGGTAATAACTCTGTTTCTGATTCTGAAAAGTTACTTATATCATAAACTCTTTCTCTCTGTGTTATAATGAGCTGTAGAGGAGTGCAGCAGACCTCCAGGTAGCTGACGGAGGGCGTGTTGTAGATCTTCACGTTGGTGGTGTTGGTGGAGGGCAGCTGCAGGCCGTCTCTGAACCACAGCACGGCGGCTCCAGGGTGAGCCTCCACCTCACAGCTGATGTTGGCCGAGTTCCGCTCCCACGTGTACACCGTCACCGAGCCCAGGATCTTAGGAGCATCTGCACAACACGGAGGAGGGGAGAGGACACTGATTATCTGAAGTCTTCAATCTATCTGGCCAGGAGGCATCTATCGTTTTCTTTAACACAGTTTAGATTTAACCACGCCCACAACATAGATGTATCAAGAGAACGTCTTCGGAGTATCTGCACAACAGAGAGGTGGGAAGTAGTGGAGTACAAATACTTAGTTATTGTACTTAAGTACATGTTTCTGGTATCAGTACTTTACTCCACAACTTTTTACTTTGACTTCTTACATGTTGAACCCAAATACCTGTACTTTCTACTTCTTACATGTTGAACACAAATACCTGTACTTTCTACTTCTTACATGTTGAACCCAAATACCTGTACTTTCTACTTCTTACATGTTGAACACAAATACCTGTACTTTCTACTTCTTACATGTTGAACCCAAATACCTGTACTTTCTACTTTTTACATGTTGAACACAAATACCTGTACTTTCTACTTCTTACATTTTGAACACAAATACCTGTACTTTCTACTTCTTACATGTTGAACACAAATACCTGTACTTTCTACTTCTTACATTTTGAACACAAATACCTGTACTTTCTACTTTTTCTACATTACATTTATTGGAGCACTTTTCCGAATGGTCAAAGCGCTTCACATTACATATTACACATCATACCTGTAACAGTGAATACAGTAAAGTAGGGTGAAGTGTCTTGCCCAAGGACACAAAGTTATGGGTACTTTTCGAAGCCCATACTTCTTTACTTTTACTTGAGTAAAGAAGTTTAGTCAGTACTTCTACTTTTACCAGAGTATTTTTTTAAACACGAGTATCTGTACTTCTACTTGAGTAAAGGATGTGTGTACTTTGTCTACAACACAGAGGAAGGGAGAGGACACTGATTATCTGAAGTCTTTAATCTGGCTAGGAGGCATCTATCAACTATCATTTTAACACAGTTTAGATTTAACCACGCCCACTTCTGCATTGATATCGCTCTGTGAACTGTGTCACGGATGCGTCAAGAGAACGTCTCCGTCTAAACAGCTGTCAAGTTATATAAGGTCTACCTTAGATTGATTCCAAAACTATATGTGTCGCTAAAATTGATCAACTTAGAGTTTATCAGACCATAAAGAATTAGTCAGTAATCATAAAACAATAGATGCAACGAGGAGAAAATAAATACAAAAAATCTGGAAATGAAATGTTATAATTGATCATTTTTTAAACAATAAGTGGTTTTTGGTAGGCTTGTGCAATGGTTTTAAAATAGTCAAAACATTGACATATTTGCTCATATTTCCACCACTTTGTTTGGAAAGGAAAGATGTATAGCTGATCTTATTCTTGCTACCAGTGAAATACTTTTTTTTTTAGAAATCTTTGCATGAATAAAGACCAATGAAACACACTCCTGGAGACAGCTGGAGACAGACTGTGGGGTTTGTATATGGAACGCATGCTGAGTGCAGGATGATGGCTGTATCTTTCTATAAGGCATTCTTTAATATCCCTTTTCAAAGTAAATCCAGGGATGGTTTTATGCAGCATTAAACTGCCACTTTTGCCCATTTAACCAACGACAAAGTGTCTTCTTTATTGCTTTAATGTCTCACCAGGCCATTGTTACACAGTACGTCTAATAAGCGTACGATCATACTGAGAGCTTTGAGCGAACAGAAATAACAAAGCCGAACGGTGTCACTTCAAACGGCTTCAGAAACATTCAGCCGGTGCAGTTTGGAAAATGAGATCCTCACTCCACATTTGATACCTGCAGAGATAGAAATAACACTGCGGCCATTCATGCTCACTGCGACACGCTCGTAAAGTTGAATTGAAACCATATGGGCTGAAACTCTTCACCCTTCATTTTTAGAAGCGTTGTTGGAAGAGGCTATAACAGGACATGACTGTTTCCCTTTTATTAGATCCTGCTCTCGTCACTGAGCCGTGTTTCTGAGAGTGTTCTGCTGAGGCCTGACTCTGTCCTCCTGACCCCGGATCCTTGAAACCGGATTGATGGACGAGTTTGAGTCAATAGTGCTTCATCTCCTGCAGCCCTGATTAGACCCCGCTCCTCCATCAGTGCTACTGTTGGACCTTTAGACTCGATGCACAGCCTGTGACCTGCAGCTTTGATTTCTGCAGGCTCTCCGTCAGATTATCGATCGTTGGCAAGTCAGAGGGAAGTATCTGCTACTGCTGCTGGTATAGGTCAGCACAGAAAACACATATTGTTCTGCATCAGGCCTTTAGCAAATAAATAAATACATTTTGCAGCCCTTTTCATGCTTTCTTTTCACTACATAAATACCTATTCTACCATCTGGAGGATCAAATACTAAGTCAATAGTATAATAAGCTAGGTATCATTATGGAAATGATAACTGCTAACAAGACCATGGGCGTCGCAGCCATTATATGAGGGTGGGACAAGTCCCCCCCACTTTTTCAAATGATTAGTTTAGACCCCCCCACTTTTACTATGCGGAAAGTCCGTGAATCGGTCTATCCACTCGCCGCACTTTGTAGAGCGCTGTGTCAGTGCTTCACTATCAAATGAAATCCATTCCACTTGCTTATTGAGAGAATGCCCAAATCAATGAAACTCCGTACCATGTTTTCACTGCTACTTTGTACCAAGGCAGATTCTCACATAGCATAGTCTTCAAAATGTCCAATGTCACAGACTGGGACTTACTTTAGAGTCAGTTGTATTTACATTCAGTATGACTTGTTATGATTCAATGTGAAAGAGTATACTGCTCAATAAATAATTATCACTTCACAACAATATCTCTCAATGCACTCACAAATATTTATTGTTGTATATAAATGTAAAAAAAATGGGCATTTAAACTGCTTTTTATTAATTCAAAGACAGCTCTGAATTAATAATCAAATATGTTTCCTTTCTTTACTACTGGATGAAATTATAAAATGTACTCATCATTTTCCTCATGCTAGTATAGCCACATAAAAGTATCAAACCACCTATACAGGAAATCTAGATATTTTTTCACCCCCCGTTAAAAATGTCCCCCCCACATTCAGGATGCTTCCTACGCCCATGAACAAGACATATTGTGATGCTGTTTGTATGGAAAATAAATGTAACTTTTTAATGATGGATGAATGGATGATAATTTTAGTTTTCACTTCCATCTTTGATTGTTTGTTTGTTGAGTTTATGTGGCTATACAGTGAAAATGTGCGACTGACTGTGTGTGCACCGCAGAAAAAATATATTAATGCTAATCGGGATAATGCTAATGGTGATCGTTGTTTTTGCTTATTTTCTGTTGATGTTTATATAGTGTGTAAAGAAAAGCCAATGCTAATGCTAATGCTAATAAGGATCCTCTTGAAAACACAAAATCTGCCGACCTGGAGTAACAAATGAAAGCTCTGCTCAGGTGTGCAAATGTCTGCAGGGCGGAGATGAGCCCGCTTACTTTCAGACAATCATGCTAAACAAACCTGAGCCGCGAGGAGCTCAAACAGAGCACTTATTAACACTTTCCTATCAGAGCGGCAGCAGCATCGTGGACACGCTGAGCTCGGCTAATGGGATCACGCTGAGCAGCAGATTGTGAGTTCCACGCTTTGATAACGTCTTCATTGTGAGAGTGGGCGAGTGGTGATAGAGAGGACAGAGAGTGAGAGCCGTGCTCGAGACAAAGCACCTTTTCTTATCGATAATTGCTTGGCAACAGAGAATCAGCACCCTGATTACTTGCTGATTACTCGAGCTAACTGCTAACAGCTCCATCAACACTGCATTGTGATTATATCTCCTCTGAGCAAATTGCTGACACATTGAGAGGACGGCATATTAATCCAATTAAGTGTTCATCTGCCTTCTTTATCGCTGTCTTTTGTACCAAGGTTCGTTAGATTTCAAGAAGAGATCAAGTGTTGTGTGGCTCCCATTGGGCCCGTCCAATCTTTCCAAGGACATGTTTTGATTATGCTAAATTACCTTCGTGAAATGAATGCAAAGCAATGGGGAGAATGAACATCAGCCTGGAGGGAACTCAGAGATGTTAGCCTTTGCAGACCATTTACATGCACACAAACCTATAGCACACTACAGGAGAGGGAAACCCCCCAAAAAGCACAATACGGCCCCTTTGATGGTCATATCTCTCAGGTCATAACACTTGGCAGTCTCTTATATGAACATAGGTAAATAAAAGGTAATATACAGGTACAAATACTATCTTTAAAAAAACGTCAATGGCCTGGATGCACAAGCTTTCTATTCTACATTTTCGATGTTCAAAGAGCAAAGTAATTAGAGCGTTACATAAATTGAGGACAGACACATTTAAAGCCTCGACAGCTGCTGTACCTCGGGGCTATGTCAGAGCTAAGACCTTTGTTTCCATGGTAACTAATCGCAGTGATAGCGCTAACGCTCGCCCACCTTTTATCCCCCGAAGACGGAGGTGACTGCCCAGACACTGAGACTGCAGAAAAACCTTTCTTTGGTCCTGACTCTGTCCTCCTCTGATTCCAACATACATTTATTTGCAGTCAGTACAATGCTAAGAAAAACCTAAATTCACGTTAGATCTGAAGGAAACATGGCGAAGCAAACAGATTAAGGCAATCAGCAATGTTTTTGAGTATCAATTTAAACCCCCAAAATAAACATGAATCACACTTTAGTGCATCTGATGCCAAGCCATGTGTAAAATCAACCTTATGTGTTAATATATGCAATAACTAACTCAAATTGGGTTGCACCTTACAAGTAAGTACAATGTAAAGTTACGATAATCCTTATATGGAACACTATATCAGGAAAATGGTCGGGGACTAATGTAAGCAAAGCATTTACAAATGTTTTGGGATATTTATAACGGTTTAGTGATTTAATTTACGCTGGTTCACTTCACCTTAGATGCGAAATGCCGATGGCACGAGAAAATATCTTTACAATTAAGTTGTTGAATTTAGAAAGTGCAGCCAGGACGGAAGTATTCCAAAGACATTTGCTGGTGACAATGTTTTAATTTCAGGCCATTCATTTAAAGGGGACCTATCATGCAAAATGCACTTGTGTACGTCTTTTCTACATGAATATGTGTCCCCGGTGTTCCAGGGAACTCACCAAGTGTCAGAAAACACAACCCTCTCTATTTTCCTCCATACCCAAATCTCTAAAAAAGGGGCTGCAACGGATCTGATAAAAACTGATCCAGATTTGAACACTGTCCTGACGTCAGGACAGTGGCGCTACGGCTATTGGGCCAACTCCACCAATCAGGAGGAGACAGCCACGGCCATTGCCGTTCGAAAGCGCTGGAGACGCTGTAGTACATATGCCAGGCCTGTAGGTGGTGCTGTTCTCACTGAATCAGCCCTTGCAAAAACAGAGCTAAAAAAGTGCACATTGAGCGAAATGAGGCATGGCTAAAATGCATGATCTGTTTGGTATAAATATGCCTTATATAGGTATGGCCCTACACTATATTATTCAAATATAACATGATAGGTCCACTTTAAGTTAGTAGTAACAAAGCACCAAATATAATGTGTTGAGATTACTAGGGTTGCAATGTTTGGAAAAAGTCGGTAGAATACCCTTTTTTAGGCCGGGACTTCTCTGCAGCTCCACGATACCTCATTCTTACTTTCACATAATTTCCTTTATCTGCTCACTGTGATTTGGACATTGCACCAGTCCTTCTTGTGATTTGGATCAAATGACCATTCATTGTGCAGCCCTGGACTTTACTCTTGGACTCACGGTCAAACGGACTGCAGAACTCTCTCTAAAGGTGGAATATTTGTCTAGTCTGTCAGTGGTTGTTGTTGAAAAGCTTTGGGTCATTGATTTTTCTGCCTCCAGCTAAAATCAAGGGCTAATGAACAAAGAAAGAAAAAGCTGCCAGGCTGCTGTCAAAAGCCATTTCAGGAAACAGAGGGAATCACTGCCTGAGACACGAGGAGAAAACCACCGAGCACCAAATACACTGATTACAGCACCATTACTCTGACATGCGGACAACACCGTCTGATCATCAATCACAGAGCCATTCTACAATCTGAGATTATTTACGGACATTTTAAACGGACTTTTCATTACATGGCATTTCATCTGAAGAGTCTTCACGGACGTGTTTGTTGTTCCATGTCAACACCAACAAGAGACAGGTGTTTCAACAAAGAACCCCGGAGATTAGAAGATTCTCATTTTCAAGACTCAAGCACTTCAACTAGAAAAATGTCTGACAGTGAAACTTATTCTTTGATCTTCATTCGTCTATTACAGTATATGTGTGGTAGTGGGTCTGTGTGCAAAATATATTTGGTACGATTCTGAACCCTCTATTTCGAGAGTACACTGTTATAACAGGTAGGGAATCTATAGGAATATTTATGTCATTATGTATAATTTAGTCAATTAACCAAGTCAATTAAATCTCATTTACATAATTGACCAAATGACACATAATTCAACAATTATAAACATTCATAATGGTGCCAAATATGATTTTACTGTCAAATGTAACATTAATATATGAGAAAATGATCAATTAAAGTCTTAATAAAGTGAGAACAATTAATTTAATCACCCAATGAAATGATTATTTTGAAAAAATAGTTCAAACTCTTTGGAGAAACTCTCGTTTGCTTTCATTCTAAGAGTGAAATGCAACTGTAAAAAGACAATTAATGCACATCAAGAGCAATAACAGCTGTTGTTAGTCCTAGGTTCACTTATGCATCAATTCAAACATTACAAATACAGTAATTGTGATTGTAAGGGTATCATATGGCCCGGGGACAACAGCTGGAAATTAGCAATGTTGGCTAAAGCTGCCCCATTTACTGTTGTGTGTGACAGTTGATGAATGGGGACTGTCCACGACACTTTAAAGGGGACCTATCATGCAAAATGCACTTGTGTACGTCTTTTCTACATGAATATGTGTCCCCGGTGTTCCAGGGAACTCACCAAGTGTCAGAAAACACAACCCTCTCTATTTTCCTCCATACCCAAATCTCTAAAAAAGGGGCTGCAACGGATCTGATAAAAACTGATCCAGATTTGAACACTGTCCTGACGTCAGGACGGTGGCGCTACGGCTATTGGGCCAACTCCACCAATCAGGAGGAGACAGCCACGGCCATTGCCGTTCGAAAGCGCTGGAGACGCTGTAGTACATATGCCAGGCCTGTAGGTGGTGCTGTTCTCACTGAATCAGCCCTTGCTAAAACAGAGCTAGAAATTGTCAAATTGAGCAAAATGAGGCATGGCTAAAATGCTGTTTGGTATTTTGAAAAAGAAAAAGTATAAATATGCCTTATATAGGTATGGTCCTACACTATATTATTCAAATATAGCATGATAGGTCCACTTTAAACAAATAAACTAAGTATAAGAATAGTGGTGTTACTCACAGCGGACTTCCAGGAACATGTGCTGCTCGTCCTGTCCGATGGAGTTCCCGGCGCTGCAGAGGTACTTCCCGGCATACGTGAACAGGACGTTCTTCAGCGTGAGCGAGGACACTCGGGCGTGGCTGCGGACCACGATGTTTCTGTCGAGGCTCTGCAAAGAAATGAGCGGGAGAGTAATTAGTCTCAGGACGTTCTCATAGAAGTGATGTCTTTGTCATCCGTCATCTTGTTCATGAGAGATGTTAAAGGGTTCCTACTAAAAGAGAGAAAAAGAGAGGACGGGTTGTTTTCTAGTTAGATTGGAAACAAATGAAGTTAATGAGTTAACCATTTTCATCCCTCATTCCCCTAATCCCTTCATCTCTCACTCCCCTAATCCCTTCATCTCTCACTCCCCTAATCCCTTCATCTCTCACTCCCCTAATCCCTTCATCCCTCACTCCCCTAATCCCTTCATCCCTCATTCCCCTAATCCCTTCATCTCTCACTCCCCTAATCCCTTCATCCCTCACTCCCCTAATCCCTTCATCCCTCATTCCCCTAATCCCTTCATCCCTCACTCCCCTAATCCCTTCATCCCTCACTCCCCTATTCCCTTTATCTCTCACTCCCCTAATCCCTTCCCTAATGGCCCCTAATCCCTTCATCCCTCATTCCCCTAATCCCTTCATCCCTCACTCCCCTAATCCCTTCATCCCTCACTCCCCTAATCCCTTCATCCCTCACTCCCCTAATCCCTTCATCCCTCACTCCCCTAATCCCTTCATCCCTCACTCCCCTAATCCCTTCATCCCTCACTCCCCTAATCCCTTCATCCCTCATTCCCCTAATCCCTTCATCTCTCACTCCCCTAATCCCTTCATCCCTCACTCCCCTAATCCCTTCATCCCTCATTCCCCTAATCCCTTCATCCCTCACTCCCCTAATCTCTTCATCCCTCACTCCCCTATTCCCTTTATCTCTCACTCCCCTAATCCCTTCATCCCTCACTCCCCTAATCCCTTCATCCCTCATTCCCCTAATCCCTTCATCCCTCACTCCCCTAATCCCTTCATCCCTCACTCCCCTAATCCCTTCATCCCTCACTCCCCTAATCCCTTCATCCCTCACTCCCCTAATCCCTTCATCCTCACTCCCCTAATCCCTTCATCCCTCATTCCCCTAATCCCTTCATCCCTCACTCCCCTAATCCCTTCATCCCTCATTCCCCTAATCCCTTCATCCCTCACATTCCCCTAATCCCTTCATCCCTCACTCCCCTATTCCCTTATCTCTCACTCCCCTAATCCCTTCATCCCTCACTCCCCTAATCCCTTCATCCCTCATTCCCCTAATCCCTTCATCCCTCACTCCCCTAATCCCTTCATCCCTCATTCCCCTCATCCCTTCATTCCTACCAACATCCGTAGATCCGTGTATCCCGTACTGCCCTCATCCCTTCACCATACCCTCATCTTTTCACTTTATCCCTCCCTTCCTCATTCCCTCATACTCATCTTCATCCCTCCACCAATCGACTGCTAAATCATTCCTACTCCCTCACTCCCCTCATCCCTTCATCATTCCCCTCATCCCTTCCTCATTCCCCTCATCCCTTCATCACTCCCCTCATCCCTTCATCACTCCCCTCATCCCTTCCTCACTCCCCTCATCCCTTCCTCACTCCCCTCATCCCTTCCTCATTCCCCTCATCCCTTCCTCATCCCTTCCTCATTCCCCTCATCCCTTCCTCCCTCCACCAATCGACTGCTAAATCATTCCTACATCCCTCACTCCCCTCATCCTCATCCACATCCATTCCCCCTCCACCCATCCACCCCTAACGCAGCGTCCACACGGAGGCGTGCGTTGAAGCTTGCCGGTGGGCGTGTCTGAAACTCGACCAACAACCAATCACATGAATCTCCCGCCCCGGACACACAAGCACGCGGTTTGATTGGCTAGAGCTTGTACTGGCATGTGATTTGATTGGCTGACGCTTCCGTCGAAGCTTCAAAAGTTGAACATTGCTCAACTTTTGAAGTGAGCAAAGCGAAGCGACGGAACCACAATGCAGTTCGGCAAAGTGTGACGTCACGTCACCCCATTCAAAGTGAATGGGCAGAAGCGTTGAAGCTTCAACGCACGCCACCGTGTGGACGGGCCGTAAATCATTTCATTCCTACCTCCATCATCCCCTTCACCATTACCCAAATCCCACATTACTTATCAACTCCTTCATCCCTTCATCCCTTGATTCCTCCCTCCTTCCTTCCTTCATACTCACCCACAGCTTGGAGCTACAGTATGTTGATGTTTCTCTGTACCATTTAACTGGCTAGTTGCAGGTTTACAGCAGTTTGAACAACATAATTGCAGTTGTGACAAATGCATTGTTAGACCAGGTTTCATTTGGCTCAATAGCTCTCTGCTTGCTCAGATGAACCTGTTGAATTACAGCGGAGTCACTGACGCTGGTTTATTGACCTTACTTGCTTTTTTAATCATGCGCTACAACCTGGGTTAATCCGCAGGTTTCATGCTGTCAGATTAAAAGATGAGGCCGGAGCATCGGCTGCTTTTAGGCTCTGCTCAGTGACGTTGATACCAGAACATTTTCACACAGTGTATTTTAGATAACGTTAGATATACTTTATTGATCCCATAATGGGAAGTTGTTTTGTCACAGCAGCGTGTTAACACAGTATTACATAAAAGGAATTCTTTTCTGCCCAAACACTAATGCAAGCTTCTTTCCAGGAGAGCAAATGAGTTCAAAGACAGAAGGTAGGAGGCAAAGAAGGACATCAATAATACAAAAGAGCAATGTGGCAGGATCTATCATTTAAAAAATATTTGTTTTTCCCTTTTGGCGACAGATAGTTTAAACCAGGGGTGTCAAACTCAATTTCATCACGGGCCACATCAGCATTATGGTTGCACTCAAAGGGCCGGTTGTAACTTTAAGACTATATCATTAATTAATATAACTTCATAATTAACTACGTCTGAAAGCAGAAGTCTAGAGCAAGTCTCTTCAGTGAGAATGTCACAATATGATTTTAAAAGAAAAGCCACATTCTGGAAAAACATTGATTGTGACATTTTGAAAAAGAAAAGTGACATTTTGAAAAAAATATCTATTCATGAGAAAAAGGCTAATTCTAAGAAAAAAGGCATATTTGGACAAAAAAAGTCAAATTCTGAGAAAAAGTCAAATTTGAGATGCATTGTGGGACATGTAGTTTATGGGCAACGTGCTTCTGTAAAGTAGCATGTAACCGTATAATAAACATATTATATTCTTTGCAAGCTCTTGTGGGGCCACATAAAATGAAGTCGCGGGCCGGATTTGGCCCCCGGGCCTTGAGTTTGACACCCCTGGTTTATACCAACATGATAATACATCTTCCTTTCAACTGCCATGATTTGCTATTAATATTTCAGGCATTCAGCGTTTCTGTTTTATAAATTATGAAATGGTAATTGTTGTATTAGCATTAATGAATGAAGTGTGATCCTCCCCAGAGCGAAGGAGATGCAAACGTCGCCAAAATATTTCTGCTGTTTACTGAAGATCTGAGGGAGTGTCCGGGAACATTTTGAAAGGGCAGCATTAATGTCTGCTTTCTGCAGAGACACTGAACTGGAGTCACTGTGGGAACAGGGAGGAAGTTAACGGAGGAGAATACTGAGAATACAACAGAGGAAGAAGTGAACAGGCATTTGCATTTATTCATTCATTCCAATTCATGATTTTAATTATACAACCGGGAGTTGTCACAATGAATTATAACAGAGGACTTGTGTAGAAGAAATGTAAATGACTTTGCTCTGTTTGTGTCGTCCCTGCTTATTTGCATTGTAAGGCAGAGCTGAAATGATGTTGCATACTGTAGCCTTTGAAGGTTTCGCTTGTCAGATATTCTGTACAATTATTATATAGGAGGAGACTGGAGCCGCTGAAGCAATGAAGAAAACCCATTATCTCTTTATATGTGCTGCTACTGTATATCATTGAACTAAATGGAAAACAAAGGTCTACTTTTCTCCTGTCAGCACCTCCACAACACTTACTGTACGAACTCTATAAAAAGATCTTTAGCTGCACTCATGTCAGACTAGATCTCTGTAAATACATGAAGCCGACGAGGAACAACTCTTCATATCAATATCCTGATGGTCATTACCAGAAGTGAGAACTTTATAGCTCATTTCCAAAGGTTTGTTTGCTGTCAAAATGGCCAATAATAAAGTGTATAGAAACCATGGTGAGTTGACCAACACTGGAAACTGTTAACAGGCTGATGTTGTAAAAAGCTATTTACAGCTAATGTCCTTCCACTTCTAATGGCTCGGCTTATTTGAGGCTAATGCACTCGAGGTCTCTCGCTGTTCCTGAGTTTCTATCTTCATGCTTGAGTGCACTTAATGTAAGTCTCTTTGGATCAAAGCATCAGGTAAATTAAACGTAGTTAAATGTGATGTTCAACAACTAATGTTTACCATCTTAGTTAAAGTACAGCTAGGGCTGATTGGAATCTAATTAGGTTTGCAGGTCTTTACACAGAAACTGCTGATTACCTCTGAACTAGATGGAAAATGGTGGGATAACCAAAGTCAGTAGTAGTGGTTAAACATTGATGTCCGAAACCACATTTCCCAGAAAGCACTCCACTCTTAAAGTGGACCTATCATGCTATATTTGAATAATATAGTATAGGACCATACCTATATAAGGCATATTTATACTTTTTCAAAATACCAAACAGATCATGCATTTTAGCCATGCCTCATTTCGCTCAATTTGACAATTTCTAGTTCTGTTTTAGCAAGGGCTGATTCTGTGAGAACAGCACCACCTACAGGCCTGGCATATGTACTACAGCGTCTCCAGCGCTTTGGAACGGCAATGGCCGTGGCTGTCTCCTCCTGATTGGTGGAGTTGGCCCAATAGCCGTAGCGCCACCGTCCTGACGTCAGGACAGTGTTCAAATCTGGATCAGTTTTTATCAGATCCGTTGCAGCCCCTTTTTTAGAGATTTGGGTATGGAGGAAAATAGAGAGGGTTGTGTTTTCTGACACTTGGTGAGTTCCCTGGAACACCGGGGACACATATTCATGTAGAAAAGACGTACACAAGTGCATTTTGCATGATAGGTCCCCTTTAAG